CCTCGTTGTCGATGCAGTACGTCTCGTCCGTGTTCTCCACCAGCTGGTGCACGGAGAGGGTGGCGTTGTAGGGCTCGACCACGGTGTCCGACACCTTGGGCGAGGGCATCACGCTGAAGGTGTTCATGATGCGGTCGGGGTACTCCTCCCGGATCTTGCTGATGAGGAGGGTCCCCATCCCCGACCCCGTGCCACCCCCCAGCGAGTGGGTCAGCTGGAAGCCCTGCAGACAGTCACAGCTCTCGGACTCCTTCCTCACCACATCCAGGACCGAGTCCACCAGCTCAGCGCCCTCCGTGTAGTGGCCCTTGGCCCAGTTGTTCCCGGCACCACTCTGGCCTGCCGGGCGGAAAGAGACTTCAGAAGTCACTGATGATTGTGTTAAATTCTCTTTTACCTTAAGCCCTTTAATATAGCTCAATGAGTCACTGTTTAGATAAGATTATTTCAGGTTATCACTAAAATGACCAGACATTAAAATATTTGGTCATGGACATAATTATAAATAAGGAAGGTTAGGAACCTGGCTATTAGAGACTGAAAGGCATTTTGTTTTAGCTTCTATTAAGACAAAATCGGCACACAACTCTATACTTTCTCTACGGCAGTCACCCTCCTCCACCCTGAGGTGTCCAGCGTAAAATGAGACTCCCTTGCCGTGCCTGTCACTCACCAAACACGAAGTTGTCAGGCCTGAAGATCTGGCCGAAGGGTCCAGACCTGACCGAGTCCATGGTGCCCGGCTCCAGGTCCACCAGGATGGCCCGAGGCACGTACTTGTTACCTGCAGGGACAGAGCTGGACTGAGACCTGCGGGCAGAGAGCTCTGAAGAGGAGGGCCTGGTACTAGCTTCCTTCTTGCAGGCACTGCTGTTGCCCCCAAAGACAGGATCTTGGGATTCTCAAAGGGACGCCCACTGGAAAACCGCAGTGAAAGAGTGGGAATCCTAAATCCGCTAGGCCACCCTCCTCTGGGGCCACACTCCTGGGGTCAGTCCCCCCTCCCGGGGTGGGGGGTAAAGGCAATCACCGGTGGCTTCATTGTAGTACACGTTGATCCTCTCCAGCTGTAAGTCACTGTCCCCATGGTAACTGCCGGTGGGGTCGATCCCATGCTCATCGCTGATGACCTCCCAAAACTGAGACACAGAATAAGGTTGCATTTAGCCATGCCCCACCCCTCAGAGAGGCCACGACTCTAAATGAAAAGCCCCCGACTCAGTTCCGACAACCCAACCAACCGTGCAGGAGCTTCAGGGTAGCCTGACCCGGCACAGCCGCGGGGCTTGTGGTTTGCAGGGTCAGGGAGTTATAATGGGGCGTTCCCCGGGAGAACAGCTGCTCTCGGCGGGAGGTGGGGGTCTCAGCGGGGATGGGAGGGACCAGTAACTGGATCGACGACCCGGGCAGCGGGGAGAGGCGGGCGCGCAGGAACTCCGGCGGCGCCGAGGGGGTGGGCGGGGGAACAGGGACCCGAAGGACCTGAAGGAGGTGGGGTTTATATTCAAAGCACGTCCTGGGACCTCAAGACGATTGCTCCGCCCCCTCCCCCTGCAGCTCGACTCGGGTTCAAGCGAGTAAAATCAATTCTCCCGGCGTCCGAGCCCCGCCCGCAGACCCGCGCGCACAGTCCCGCGGACACACCCGCGTCCTCTCCGGGCCCGCGTGCCGGACTAAGTTAAGAACAAGGAGGAAGGGGAGGCCGAGGGACCAGGATTCCAAACGCGTTACGGCAGAAAGTTAACAGGGGTCCTCCCCCTTCCCCGAAGGTCTCCTCCGGGCCCACGCCCGGCTCCGCGGCACAAAGCAGCCGGGAAAGTCTGCGTTCTGGAGCCGGGGGCCGGCTCAGGACCACGCTCGCGCCCGGAACCCCGAGGGGCGTTAGGCTAGGTCGCCGCCCCAACCCCGACCCCTGCCGGGCGGCGCGCCCACCTTGGCTCCGATCTGGTTGCCGCACTGGCCAGCCTGGATGTGCACGATCTCACGCATGGTGCTAGCTGGCTTCCTCTGGTCCCGGTCGGCGTCTGGTCAGTATGTCCGTCCTCCTTACACACCCACTGCGGGGTCACCGGGAAAGCGCTCGGGAACCAGCTGGCTGAGAGCGGCGGCCCAGCGGGCTCGGCCTTTTATGCGAGGAGGGCGGGGCGGCCCGCACAGGCCGCGCCCCCAGCCCGAGCCCCCCAGTCCCCTTCGCGCTAGCGCTCTCCAGGCCCCGCTGACGTAATGCTCCGAGCCCCTGGGACCGTCCAGGGGGCTGGACCAGGGGCCCGCGGCCAATCAGCACAAGATTGCGGACCGGGCGAGGAGTGGGGGCTGCGAGGAGTAGGGTGGGGGAGTGCGCATTGTCTAGGACTAGGGGGATGTGGAAAAGCTGGGCACTGAAAATTGGGGGTGGGTGAAGGAACCGAGGGTGGAAGGGTGGCGAGGCGAGGGTGACCAGTGTGGCAGGCCAGTGTGGGGGAAGAGCTGGCGCTGGATAGGTGTGGGCAGGGGGACTGCAGCAGGTGGAGAGGCCGTCAGGTGCGCCGGAAAGGAGCGCGCTGTGCTCCGGGTACTGGCAGGTGGTAGGGCTGGGGTGGCGCGGATTTCGCTGGCGGCGCAGATTGCGGCACCTCCTCCGCCAAGGGCCTGAGATTCCTAAGCCACCCGTTTCCTGGTGAGACCACTGCCCCTTTCCCCCAACCCTCAGAGGGCAACAAATGTCCGCGCCCGAACCTCGGTCACACAGAGCCTTGGGAGAAGACACGAGGCCCCAGGCGGAAGTCCTGTGTGATCAGAATGCTGGGGTCTGAAGAGCCGTGACCCCAGACACCTAAGGCCCAGGAGCCTCAGGGTGCCCTCCGCCCGCCCCTCCGCACCCGCCCATCCTCTCTTTTGTCTCTGTTAAAGGCCTATTTTCCCTTTCACTGTGGTTGCAGCATCCGGGGGTGGGGCGACCTCAGGGTCTCCTCCGCCCCGCCCGACCCTCTCCAAGAGTCCATAAGTCCCCGGCTGGTACCCAGTACCCCTCCACCCCGCGGGTCGGCTTTTGTTCCTTGGGAGTCGATGGGGTGGGTGTGGCTGGCGGTGCAGCGTGGACTGTCCAGCGGACAGAAAGAGGGTGGGGTTCGGGGGGCGGGGCTGCGGCAGAACAAAGAGCTCGAAAATGCGTGGGATACCTCCCACAACTGAGTATTTAAAAATCACACCCCGGGCGCTTCCCCTCTCTGGGTTCGGTTCGTATATTGTCCACTAAGGGGATGGATTCCAAGGGAGGTCATCGCCCGCTTCACTGCTAACATTCTCATCTTCTATCAGGCGCCGGACCCGGAGGCAGCCACGAGGTCCCCAACCTTCGTGCTGCTGATGCGGGTGAGGGGCGCGCCAGAGCATTGCAGCACAGCAAGGGGGCGGCCACCCGGGACCCTGAGGTGCACACAGCGCGCGTGCGCAGACGCGCAGCCCCACACTCCGTCGAACCGACAGTTTCTAGGGAGTCCAAGGAGCTAATTTCTTTGTTACTTTTCGTGTGTGTGTGTGTGTGTGTGTGTGTTTGTGTGTATGTGGGTGTGTGTGAGAGAGAGAGAAGGAGCTGGAACATGGCTCCTCGCAATTCCATGGCTGAAGCGCCCCTCCCCCACCCGACCCGTGACGGGTCATCTGAAACGTGACTTGGCCCCTTTTCATCCTGAGGCGAGAGGGGCCGAAATGGCCTGGGTTCCCGCGGCCGAGCAGAGCCCGCAGCTGTTGAGTGAGACCCTCCCAGAACTATCAGCAAGCTGTCATCGCCTCCCTTTCCCGCTGGGGATGAAAGGGGGGCTTTCAACCCAATTCCAGTGCACAAAGAGAGACAGAGAGAACAAAAGCCCAGCCTCCTTCAAACACCCATTGCGCCTGGACTGCAGCTCGGGGCAGAGGTCCCCAGACGCGGCTGCCGGCGTCCGGGTTAGGCTGGGGTCGGGCGAGGGGCAGAGCGGCGGAAGGTCCTCCCACAGGCCCGGCTGGTGGGGCTCCCTGGACCCGGGATCTGACCCCGGGTGTCTAATCCAGCTCCCACAGACGCAGAAGCGTCGAGGGCGAGCGATGCCAAGGTCACACAGCCAGTTAAAGACAGGGCTCAGGCTGGAATCCTGCTTCTAGGCGCCCAGCCCTTGGGAAGGTGGCCGCGTCCGGGCAGAAGGGCTGCGGCTGGTGTCAGCACGCGGACTTGGGGGCGGCGGCTCCGCTCGGGCCT